TCTAAAACAAGCTTTCATTGCAAATAATATGATCACTAGCACCTGTGTCAAGCACCCATACAACAGGATTAACATGCTCTAAATTGGTATTGAGACAAGTGCTACCTGAGATAGTATGTCGAGATGTGGTGGGATGTGTAGTGACAGAGTTAGACTGAGGGAACTAAGCTGTAGAACTGGTTGATTGCTGAACCAGATTCCTCAGTTTGCTGATCTCTTCAGCTGAAAACCATAAAGACTGTCCCTCTTGGCTGCTTCTCTTATCAGATGCAGGACATGTAGGGCTATGTGCACTGCCACTTGGTGAATTTAAGCCTTCTCCTGAACTGACCTCAATAGAGCCTGCAAAGATCTTCCCACCAGCTTCATTCTTCCTTTTGTTTTTCAACTTGTAGCAGTCCTCAATCACATGATTGTCCTTCTTGCAGTAGTGACAGAACAACTCTTGTTGTGGCTTCTTACTGTCTCTACCACCATCCCTTCTATCATCCCTTCTCTGATTAGGATAATTAGAAGGAGCAGCAAGAGCAATGGAATCACTTGTAGTCTTCGGTTTCCTAGTACCCATCTGCCTCTCAAGCTGGACAGCAGCCCTATACACTGTGTCCATGTCTGGCAAAGGGTCGAGCATAAGCATCTGAGTCTTGACCTGTTGATAATTCTCATTCAAACCAAGAAGAAAGCGGATAACCCTCCTTTTATCCTGGTATCTGATCACAGTTTCATAAGTCTTAGAAGCACAATCACAGAATGGTATGGGTTCATAGTACTGCTGTTCATCCCAGCACAGCTTCAAGTTGGTATGATACTGCCTAACAATATGATTGCCTTGCTTAGCAAGATCGAAGTTCTCCTGTAAATTTGCAATTCTAACAGAATTGCCTTGACTAAACTTTGATTTCAGATATGTCCAGGCTTCAGCTGAAGACCTGATGTTTCTCAGATTGGGTACGATTCCTCATTCACAGAATTACGAATCCAACACAAAATAGAACCATTTCATCTATCCCAAGTGCTACGAGAAGGATCTTGTTCATCAGGTACCTTGACTGTGCCGTCGATGAAACCCCATTTGTTTTTGGTTCGAAGAGCAACCTCCATGGACTCTCTCCAGAGGAGGTAGTTATCATCGTTAAGCTTGAAACCGATGACAGGGAGAAAAGAGTTATCACTTGTAGCGAGGTATAAAGGGTTGGAATAGGGATCCTCATATTGCGAGGCTAAAGCAGAGCTATGGGTACCCGCCATTGTTGGAGGCGAGGACAAACCAAAGCAGTAGTGATTTTAGTGTTGAAGAAAGAAAACAGAAGAATAGGTAGAAGAAGAAGGATCGGAAGCCTAACCAGGCTCTGATACCATGAGAAAGTTTAAAACTCTAGAGATTGATTAGGGTTCCTGAGGGGTATAATATTAGAGGGGGTATAAATATTAGAGGGGGAGAATATGGTAAGATTTGGCGCCAAGCAACTGATCATCAGCTGTGGATTAGCGAGGGGATGAGGAGAGAATGGAGATATAATCAATGTCATCTTCTGTCTGTGTGTTGTTAATTGGGGAATGTACATGATAGACCGTTAGTTACACATGTTTTCACCCCTGTTCTTACACCGTTTGAGATGTGGTTTCTCGTGTTTTAGACCGATTTCACGCTAGGTTGTGCTTGTTTGTGATATTTCAGGTCCTGGCAAGTGAATGAAGGTTTAGGAGCGAGTTCGGGGTCGATTGGGCGAAGATCGGGCGCGAGGCAAGTTACAAAGGAAGTCACACGGCCACACCCACAACCCACACGGCCGTGCAAGTGGCCAGTCTGGCCGTGTGGGATTCTGCGAGAGCAGACACGGGCAGAGCAGGACATCCACACGGCCATGCAAGTGGCCGGGTTGGCCGTGCCACATTCTGCGAGAGCAAACACGGGCAAGAGGGGATGTCCACACGGCCGTGCCACTCTGGCCGTGCAAAGAGCCTGGAATTCGAACTAATTGGAACGCAGCGTTTTGACTCACACGGGCAACTGGGTAAGCCACACGGTCGTGCCACCCTGGCCGTGTGAGTCGGGATTTTCTGCTTAAAACCCGATTTTCAGCCAAAGGAGAAGAGGAGAGCTGGGTTTTGGATCCCAAACACCCAAGGGACGAACCAAAGAGAGAGAGGGCGATTTGAGGGCATTCTTGGAGTGGAGTTGGAGGATTTCTTCGCCTTGGAAGCTTGAGGAACAAGCCCGGACTTGAAGACTGATCATCTGAAGATTCTTACTGCAGTCTCTCTCTTCTCTATGGAGTAACTTCCCTTCACTTAGGTTTTGAGGAACCCTAGCTCTGTTTGTTTGATTGGATGATTGTATGAGTACTCTGACTTGATAATCTTGAGTTCATATTCAATCTATGCATGTTTTCATGATTCAATTCTGCTTTAGTCGAGATTATTGATTCTGCTTTGATCCTATGAGAGGGAATACCTGATTAGGTCAATAGAGCACCATAGATTGATAGTAGTGGATCGATTGCTTTAGTCAAGGGTTGATTCACTACTTTGTATCGATTGAGAACCTCTTTCGATAGAGGGAGTCTAGTTCAGAACGCCTTGATCAGTTGTTCTAGAGAAGGATACGTCCCTCTAGGCAATGGACTCAAGAGGGCCTTGTTCCTTTAGTCGAGACTCAAGGTCTAGTCAAGGATTCTCCGCATTGTGAATGAAAGTGAAACAGGTTAGAGATCATCAATCATTAATCTGGCTAGTGGCTAGGGGGAATCATACCTAAGTGAGTTCCCAACCTGTAATTAGATTAACTTTAACTGTAGTTTGCTAGAGTAGTTTTAGTCCTTTCATCTTAATCTGATTTGCTAAATAATAAACTGAAGCTGAGTAATAGTAACTCTAGAGACCCGTGGATTCGATATTTATCACTTGAGCCACTATACTGCAGTCCCTTTCATTGGTTACACTTGGCCTTTGTTAGGTGTTGTGTCGTAGCGAGTCAGTACAACACATAGATGAATGAGCAGAAGATGTGGATATAATGTCCTAGAGAGATACTCGGCCTCCTTCCTTATTATATAGACATGGCGAAGGGAAGGAGAGAGATGGCCATTATAAAAAATATAATTTTAAATTTCCACGTCACACATTTAACGGTCAACTTTTAGATTTGACTGCCACATAAGCAAAAGTTAATGGAGTTGGACGGAGAGTGATCAAACGTGAAAGGTTTCAGTAAATTGAAGTACCACCAATGGATTTAAATATTTCGAGTGACCATACTTGAACGTTTTTTGTAATCTCAATGACCAACCATGCAGTTAACCCTTAGTGTCTAATTACATTAAAAGTATATTTAAATAATATAATATTGACGCTCTGTCCACGCTCTCAATATCGTATTCTTTAAAAATCGACGCTCTGACGCTCTCGTTCTCACTTCGCGCTCTAGTTACCTAAGTTTAATTACATATTTGTTTCATGATGTTGTTTCTCATGTGTCTGTTGTTTTATCCGCAGTCAGGGAATTTTAAACAGGGAACAATCTTCCTATTCCAGTTCGTGTATTGTGTAGATACAGTAAGGAAATCGCAGCTCTCCCCAGCACGAGCTTAAATTCTTGCTCAGCCTCTATGTTGACAGCACTGCATGATGGTTGACTGGATTTATAAAATTATGTACAATTTTGATTAATTGTTGAAATTGAGTAAAAAGATAGATTAGCTACAGAAATGTAGGGTTCGTTTGGATGGATCAATCTAGAAATGAGTCAATTTGATCAATTGTCTCGTTTTATAAACGAGGCAATTAAAACGAGTCAATTCGAATTACCTCCCCCACCCCAGGTAATTGAAATTGACTCAAAACGGATCAATTCAAAATACCTCAGACAGATTGATCCATCCAAATTTGTTGCAGGCAAACAAGACAATTTGGTACAATTGTCTCAAAACGAGACAATTGTGTCAAATTGATCCGTTACATTTCCTCATCTAAACGACCCATAATTAAATAGAATTTTATAAGTGAATATTGAAACATGAAACTTATCTGGCAAAAATGGGGAATGAATCAGGTCAGTAACCTTATGGTGAGTAACCATGAGTAACCCGTCCACATCAGCATGACATCAGCATCCTCTCTCTCTTGGAAAGCCTTTAATTTTTCCTTCCTTAATCTTTGACGGACGATTTCTCACTCATTTTATGACGAAATTTAATTTTTTTTGCACAGTTAGATCAGATTAATTGTGCTCTTCAAAATGATATCCACTTTGATATATTTTTCGAACAAAAAAAAAATTGAAACATTTTTTACCAGTCTATACCATATGGTATTGACTGGTATTGAAATAAAAGCATACCTATGGTTTGAAAAACGTACCATGGTGGTATGAACAAACCAAGACTGTAGGATGGTTGAATACATGATAGTAGAAGTATATTAATTGTCATTTATGACTTTTAACATTGTATACCACAAGATACCACCCCGTACCAGGGTGGTATTGTATGGTATTGTGTGGTATTTTTTGGTCCTGTAATTTGTTCACCCAGAAATTTGTAGATCCAATAGATCATGATGAACTCATCCCTTCTGTGCAAACGTTTTCAAAAACGAAGAAGATACCATTTGGTATGCAGTTGGTACTGAGAGGCCATAATTTTTTTTTTCTCAAAAAATATTGAAAATTGATCTCATTTTGTAAAGCCCGATGAACTCGTTCCATCTGTGCAAAAAAAAATTAAAATCCGAGTTAAAATGAAAAAGATGAGTCAATTAAGAAAACTAGAAAAAATAAAAATAATCTTTAATTGTCCATCCTTAGAACTGGATTTTCTAAATAAATAGTACAGATTTGATTATTGATGGGTGCATAACCCATAATTATTATGCATCTTATCTTGAGCCACAAAAATGTAATGTACTTAAATAATTCCACTCCTAGTTACTTTAATTTAAGACAACAATATTACCATTCAACAACTATCGTTCCCCTGACGCTTTTCAAGCCAAGGTCCACATCAACTTGTACTTTCTTTGTCAGAGGGACGAGTTGGTAGCAAATCCTCATCTATATATAGAGGGACATTTTGTTAGCAAATATCTCAATTAATAAATCGAGTAACGATGTGCATTCTCATGTATTTACCTTTGCTAATTGATTTACTCTTTCTGAAGATATGAATTTTATAAATGGGGACACGCCGCCAACGTTCATAAGATACCACTGTTTGGTAATTACGAACATAACTACCACCATTCCGCTTATGACGAGACTCTTGGAAGCCTTCAAAAGTTACGTAGAATACGTACCAACAACCACCGAGCCGGACATTTACGTTCTGAATGTTAAGTAAAATCAAGTTTTGATCCTACATTATTTCATATATCGGTAAACTATATATTAATGAGAAATAAAAGCATTCCATGGAATATATGGAATAAGAACACAGATAACCTATATATATACCTTTTGTTGATTATATGTGTCGACCACAAATTTGACAGCCCTCTCAACTTTCTTGTCAAAATTTCGATCAATAGTATGATAATGTTCTAGACGGTAGATGTAACCGTATTCCGATGATGGAGGGCAATCGACATCGAAACCCTGTTCTTATTAATGAAAGAGGATGAGAAAAGGTTATAAAAAAAACGAAACCCTAATTAGAATAATCGGAGTTAAAATTATGATCAGTTTTGAGTAGCTTACACCGGTCACTTTGCATTTCCTCCTGTAATGAATGACCCTTAGCATTAGTTCTTCGTCGCCTTTGAAATCGTCGCTCTGCCCTATGTAATCGTGGTCGTCCGGCTTGGGTTCCAGCTTCAGTTTATCAAGTTCCCGGCAGCGTTTGCAGCGGCCAAGGAATATAAACCTGGACCGGCCCAAGAAATTAGCGAGCAATAAGCGCACCATTCACTGTCAGTCTTTCTGTTTACGAAATAAACACAAGTTTTTGTTTTAACCAAATAGTAAATGTACTAGCTTATAACCGGTCCGTTGATCGGAATGCTCATATTTGATTATTTATATTTTTACGTTACGTTTAGGTTTGTCAACCTGTTTAAGTTTATTGACAATCCTTCCATCTTGATGATACATAAAGATTATAGGTCGAACATTCGAAGGAATACCTTCATCGTTTAAGAATATAAAGATGTATCCTTAACCCCATATGAATAATGATAATAAGGCCCCATTTAAATGCTATTGATTAGTTGATTGCCAAGAAAGTGAGTGTGTAAAAGCTTAATGGAATTCTCATACGATACATGGATAGTTTGAAACTGAAACTGAAACCTCATATTCCTATATAAAGGGTTTAATGCTCTCATTTTAGGAAAGTTACCCTCAAGTCAACCATATTATGACAAATCACTAAACATGAACCATCAAAACTTGAGAGCAAACGAAAAAATTAAGGTAACCTCCAATATCGTAATAGATTGTATCAAAGTAATAAGGAAAAATTAAACACTCTTTATCTATTCGTTGCAGTAGCTTAATAGAGAATCATCCTTAACTTCAGCAAATCAATCAGTGCTTCCTCGTCTTAAGAATAGACATAGGTTATAGTAGCTGCAACAACCATAACACCTAAAAATACAATTGCCAACATGCTCCGTTGTACAACCAAATTTTTATTCCCTCTATCTTCAATCTCAAGAGGCATTTGCTTCAACCCAAAATGTATTTTTCAATCCTCCTTATGCAGTAGTTTGATGAACCTTCTCTCCGTAACCCTCAAATTTTCCTCCAATTGGTTTTCTTTTCAACTTGCTCTCTAACTCTTCAATCCTCCTCTTGTATTTGGCCAACTCATCATTCATTTCTAATCCATCAATATGAACATCTTCTCCATCTCCGCTTCCACCTGCTCCAGTCCACTTCCACGCCCCTCAAAACCTTCTCTATTTCCATTAATCTCCTCATCATCCCCCGCCCCCTCTCTCTTCACTTGCTCCAGTTCACTTTCAAGTCTTTCAATACCCTCCTCAATTTGATCACTACCCTCGCCAACTCCCTCTTCTCTACCTTCACCTGTTGTAGTCTCGTGCTACGCCTTTTAATACACCTTCCTAAAAATAATAATCAACTAACCAATATCAATCCATGATTTTGGGTCAGTTTTAAACTATCTATGCATATCTCGATACCAAAATATCTAACTCTAACACACAGTTTGGTACCAAATGAATCAAGAATTCATTTTATTGTAAAATGAATTACCGTGTAGAATTCATTGTAAAACGAAATCTTGTGTTTGGTATGCCATATTCAAATCTTTAAAAATAAAATAAATCGTTGCGTATAATTCATTGTCAAATGAATTTCTATGTTTGGTATGTCATATATGTAAGTAATTTAGTTAATAAAGAAGATAATTATGTCATTCTATTATAATTAGTTAATAGTTTTGGAATTCATTTGGAAATTCCATCTCAATTCCTCGGAATTGCTATAACTAGTACCAATTCCATAGAATTCAAAATTTAGAATTGGAAATGAATTCTCTTAAATACCAAACACAAAAATGTTTCATTTCAAAATGAATTCCTCAAAACTTATGGAATTCATTTATACCAAACGGTATGTAAATATTCTTTCAATTAATCATTAACTTTAATTTATCAAAAATCTAATCTACTCCTTCACGAAGCTAAAATCTCATCCCCAAAGCTCAAATTTTCTATTCATTTTATCCCACAAAACCATGATTTTATATCTCCAAATAAAATAAATTAAAGTATTTTACAAAAAGATATCAAACCTCAAACTTTACCTACTACCAAATCCAAACACAGTTTTTTCCTCCACCACTTTCGTTCCCAAACCCAATCCCGACTTCTACTCCAAGTTCAACACCCCCAACACCCAAAGCATTGCGTGGAAGTTTAATTTTAGAAATCATTATGGCTTGTAATTAGATTAATGGACACGAAAAACATAAGCCGAAATCAACAGTGTCTAACTAAACCTAAAGTAATATCAAAATTTTATCGATGAGTTGGACCATAAGATCGAAATTGATGAGGAAAAATATGGATGCGGAGAATATTAGCTATGACAAAATGAAACCAGAGCAGAAATATTGAAATAAAAAAGAAATATTTTCCTAATGGTGGTTTTATTTTATTATTTGAAGAGCTAATAAAAGAACAAAAATAAAATACAACAAACAAACAAACAAACAAGAAAGTTGACAGGGGCGGTCGGAAAGTACTATTGCCTCGTTCACAAAAATCCCCGATTTCAAACAAATCTAGCACCCCAATCACCAAAAAATTTCCTTCCTTTATTTTATAATAAATCACAAACAACAAACTTAGATAAACCGGTAAGGAAATGATAGCCTATCAGTTCAATTCGATGAACCTCCATGAAGATAGAAAACTCATTGAAGTTAAAGCCTAAGAACAGAAAGAGGAGCAATGACACAAGAGATCTACCGGACTTCAAACATTATATCAGGCAATAGGATCCAAAGAATAGATCTTTTGCATGTTTTGCTCATGAGACAACGTGAAAACATAAAACCATGAGATATAGAGAATAAAGGAATGACTTACATATGTGAAGCTATTAAGCTTGAACGAAGACCGAGAAATCCATTGAAGTTCAAAGCCTTATATATGAAGAGGAGTAAAAGCGGAAGATATGACTGATCAAACATCGTCTTCATCAAGAGAAGCATCAAAATAGTTCCTTTGGTAGTTCATCGAGAAGAGATGGAACCATTGGGTGATGCCAGTACGGAGGAATCGAGCAAGATAATCGAGGCCAGATCGCAATTACTTGATTGAACTCCATCCTATTCGCCATGGATTGATATTGAAGTTGTAGTCTTCTACTTGTCCAGCTTCAATCCCCAATCAAATCAAAATGTCAAGAAATACCAAAAGATTGATTTTCAAAGGCGGCCTTTTGTACAGGGAAGTGAAAGTGGCAGAAACTATAGCACGATGGAGGAGATTGCAAAGAAAATTGGAAAAGGATAAGAACAAAGATGAAAAAAACAAAACTAAATATTTAAATTAAAAAAAGCAAACACAATACATAGTAAAAAAAATTTCTTCCATGTTAGTCACTTACCATTTATCCTTACCAAAATTAAGGAGAGAGCAAGGATTTTGAAATGTAAGAAACTACATGAAACTATACTATGAAAATCAAAATATCAACCACCATAAAAATACTTACAGTAGAGTTACTCGGCTAACTAATCATGATGAAAAAGTCCTTCACTTTTCAGAGTTTAACTTTGTGTATGTTTTGTATTCAAAATAATACAAACAATTTGTGTAGTGTATCTGGTTATAATTATTGTATTTATTTAAATAGACCGGGTTTAAATAGTGATAAGTGATTTTGCATCTGCTTTCTTCATCAAATTATTCACCGACTATTGTGTTTTCTTCATTGATAACGTTATATTTAATGAAAATTTTATTTTCCAATTTTATCTATGTCAAATTTGGATAAGCAAATGATCATACAACTCAATCTGAACCAGTTATTATGTTTCGTCATTAACGACGTCATATTTAACGATAAAAAAATTTAACGTCAAACATAAAAGTAATTATATCAAAATTTTCATCTTAACTAATTATTACTATGTTTATAAAATTAATTTAAAAAATATCTAATGCAAATTACGAAATCTACAGTAAACTACATTAATCCAAAAATGAAAATCCTGCTCTTTAGCACTTCATTTGAGGAAAAACCCCTTTTGAGTACGGAAAAGCCAAACTAACTCTAAGGCTGGGTCCAATGGGCACCCCATTTGTGGGGGAATCTGCAAAAATAAAGGATGAGATGGTCCAATGGGGAGGTTTGGGGCGCAAAAAATGGAGGAGCCTGCAAATGAAACCCCAAATTTAGGGATGGAAATGGGGGATCCCTGACTCGCTTCTACTGTCACTCTAGAAAATGGCCAAATGTAACCACCTCCTAAAGCGTAGTATAGCGGGTTTGGGTTTTAATGTCAACCCGGGTCCTAAGTGTGATGACTACTCCGTGAGTTCTTATTATTTAGCAGTGAAAGTGCAGTGAAGGTCCAAACAAGCAAACACGCAAAACAGTTAAAGGTTGTTTTCAAGTTGAGAGAGGTCACCCGGATATGGTTCCCCCTAGACTGCAGTTAAGCCGGATTGTAATTTACCAAGTTCAAATTCAAAGATAGTCATACTACGGGAGGTTCTTAAACAGTCTGCAGTCTCGACTAAAGGTCTCCAGACCCTCTCAATCTGAGTCCACAGCGGGCGATTAACCTCCACCGGAGTAAACAGATTGAGGCCCTAACGAACCAAACCTCCACTACCGAAGTAAATCCGGTACAGGATAGTGAATCGACTCCTCGACTAAAGTCGTCAATTCACTACTTTCAATCAAGGGTGCTCTATCAACCTAGGCAGATATTCTCATTCTAGGTTAAAGCAGAAACAACAGGAATTTGATCATGTTCATGCCATTCAAGAAATCAAACCTCAATTGAATATAATCATATCACTAAATTCGTACTTGGGTTCATACAATCAGACCTAACATACAAATCTAGGGTTCTTCATACCCAGGTGAATAAGAAAGTTACTCCATAGAGAGAGACGGGAAATCTAGCTCAGATGTGGAAACCATACTGTGAAGGATGAGATTCTGCTTCTGGCAATCAATCAGCACTTCTCCAAGCTCAAGTCGGGCTCCAATGGTGATGGAGATCGATCTAAGGCACTTGAAGAATCAGGTTCGTCACTTTCTCTCTCTAGGTATACGCTTTTTCTCTCTAAAACTCGGAACCCTTCACTTTTGCCCTTCTTTTCCCTTAAGAAGCTGTCAATCGCGATCCCCGGTCTGAATACCTGGTCGTGTATTTTAGGTGGAGACCGGGGATTGTTAAAACGCACCGTCGGGGA